TTTTTACTTATTCACTTTAGTTCTTATATAAAATCCACAGAGGGATAATACTTTTTTTATATAATAATTTTTCCCTTTTTTATTTTTACTTATTCACTTTAGTTCTTATAACAGCAAATTGAGTGTTAAAGTGATATAAAGAAAGTAGACGAATTATTTTCTAATAACTTTTTATTTACTTTTAACTAAAGGATAAAAAGTTTAATTTTATAGAAATAAAATTTTTGTAATTAAAATTTTTTATATTAAGTTACATATGTTTATTTAAAAACTAATGCAATTTCAAATGGTAGGTAAAAACATCTTGCATGATCTCATCTTTTTCATATCCTTAAGTACTGTATTTTTATTATCTGTAAATATGCAATAACAATTAATGTTATGCATTTATTTGTAATTAAAGGCGTAAATATTTGTCGTACCAGTCTTGCAACATAGGTTGCGGTCAAGCCGCCGCTACAAATACTTCGGAGTGTTTCTCTTCTCCTTCTACCTTTTCTGAAAGAAAGGAGAAGCAGAAAACTTCGAAACGTTTCAAGCAACAGCTTGACCGCAGCCATAATGAGTTCTGATTTGTACGCTGTTTCGAGCAACGTCGAATGTTCATAATATATTTGATTTTTCCGCGTTCGATTTCATTCCAATTATTGACACAATCTTTATGTTAAAGCATAATTAATGTGTTTAATATGTTAATTTATAATCGACGTTTTTATTATCGATTCGTTAATGTTTAGCGGTATCAAGAAAAATGAGTGCAAAGGCTTAATTAAATTCTTATCTTGATTCATTGTCACACGAACGTTAATTATCTGTCCATTTTATTAATCTCATCAGAAGTGTGTGTAGATACGGTCAATTTCATGCATGTAAGTTAAATTGAAATATACTTAATTAAATTTTTATTTTTATTCGTTGTTATACACGCACTAATTATCTATCCATTTTGTTAATCTCATCGGAAGTGGTTGTAGATAATGATTGTAGTGATTGGATTTGGTATATGAGTCAAATCGAAATATAATCGAGATCTACATGGCCAAGATTCCATATCTCCTTTATCAATTTCTGATGTATATATTTGTTTTTATTGCTCTGGAATTATATACATATAATTTAAAAATAACGCCACATATATAGACATTAAAAATCATTAAAAATAAATTAATTGAATTTTTATTATATTTTAATATTAATTAATATATTTCAATAAAGACGAAAACGTGTTTTATGAATTTATTGCTCAAGAAATATTGCGTCATTTCGGTCTCAATGTTACTCAACAAAGAAAAGAATACGGGGTTATCGCATATGATGTCACAAATACATCATACGACTTTGTACATTGTTTCCTTCTTTAAAAGAACTCTTTTCAAATTATAAATAAAAATTGTACGTGCGAGAAAGTTTCGTTAGAATCACTAAAAAATGTCTTTCGGTTTATCCAACTTTTCAATCAGCGCGTGGCTTCTTTTTATAGCGAACCACATCAAGGAATGAAAAGATATATTGCACTATGCTTACAGAATTTAATTAATTGAGTTTATCCTAGCATTATTTCTACAATAATGTCACGTGTGTTACCGAAGGTTCTCAGCGAACCATGGCCCTCTTTTTCTCTAGGAAATGTCATTGAATCGGCAATATCACAATGCCACGTCGATACTTCTCAATCATACTAATATACTCATAAAAATGCATTGTTCCGCGAATTGTAAATCCAGCTATTATTCGAAGCGTTTATCTCGCTGCACAAGTAGTTTCACCATGTTTTTCTAATTTCAAGTTACATAACTTTCAAGTTTCGTTACGGAGGCAGGAAAAATACGTACGACTTTATTCCTTATCTTACATTAATGTTATTTACTAGTAGCCGCACGTCATCCTTCATATTTTTATCAAAGTTTGTTTTATCACGTTATCGCGATTTCTTGAAGTGATGTGTGCCTGACATTAATTTTTATCTCTGTGCCAAGAAAGCGAGAGAATAATATAGATGTATTAATGATACTTTTACTTATCTCGATCTAATTAATTTTATATTTCTTTATTTTTGTTGAAAAGAATTGTTTCAGAAATCAATAAAATTCCTATGGCTCACTTTTCTTTCTCCTTTACTATCTAACTTTTTGCCAATTAAATTTGTATGCATATGTTTTGTTACGCATTATTATCATGTAAAAGAATTTTTCATTGAAAAGAATCAATTTCTTTCTCTCTGTTTCTTTCCTTTCTATTTGCGTTATCGTCATCGACCGATCAGCTCCGACCAGGTCGACGGTCGGAAGTCGACTAAACAGCAGTTCGTGCCATGAATGCTCGGAACTGTTCAAGAACGAGGGGCCGTTGTCGGCCTTACCGAGTGGTCGCGCTCATGTCGACGGTATATGTGTCGATTTCGTCGGGAAATCATTTATTCTGAAGTTGGAACTCGCTGCGGCAACTACGGCACCTTCATCGTGACTCTTTATCTGCCTGTTGAGTGTGCTATCAAGTTTTGATAACGACTAAATTATTCTTGAATTTTCTGAAGATATATCTTCCGATCTTTTCAACAATAGTCATCTCAGTCTTCGAGCTGATACCCTGAAGAGATTTCAGCGTTCGCTGATTCGAAGCCGTGCGCTGCCTTTGCGACATCAACTGCTGATTTCATGTGATTGTGTTTGTGATATCCTGAAAATATTATTGTATAAGAGACTCGTCGTTCTGTCCGCTGAATACTTCAGAGACGAATTTCGAGTGAGTATCTTACACGATTATTTTGAAACTATATATACTACCGGAACAAGAATTTACTTACTACATTATTTAACTTACGAATAATTTATTATTTTAAAACTTAACAAATTCACTTCTTGTCCGTGAGTCTTTTATCGCATATATACCAACACATATTTTTACCATGCTGCACAAATAATACAAAATGGAATTGTCGTTTTCAATCGTGCATCGTATGTAATTTATAAACAAGCAAAAGCCTTGATCTGTTGAAAAACATCCTGCCGCGATGACACCAATTTTATACCGTATCTTTTAATTAAAAGTTGTAAAATTACATAGTACACGCACTTGTCTTATCGCCAGCGATGTTCTGAAATAATTGTAGTGATAAGACGTGGAAATAGCGCAGTCGATATGTACATACCGAGAAAAGGAGTCGTTTACAAAACTGTTCAAACAATCATCACGATCTTTCGACGAACCAAACGGCACAATAGACAATTTGTGAACTGCGATCGTAATTGTAATGACAATTCGTGGTTTCAGCACTAAAGATTAAACTTGCTTAATAAAACAATTCGTTCGGGGACTCCGTTTGATCGAGTTTTATTGCATTCAACGAGCTTCCTTTCTCAACATGGTAATACTGCCGTATTGTACTGCACAATCGGCTGAATATCGTTGAAGGTGGATCAAGTGTAACCGGCTCGTACAAAGTACATCAGTCGTGTGTCAAAAAGCCGTCGCTGCAAACAGTGCTGCAGCGAGTCGTTATCCGTAGCAGACGTGAGTCGAGATAAAACGCATGAACCAACATCGGAGATACGCGGAGACGTCTGGTCGTGGATTACTTTGTTAAAGATTGACGGCGAGAGTTGCCCAGGGACGGACAACGCGATAAGAAAAATTATAATAGAAATGCAATAGCCTCTCGAGAGTCACGAGATAACGGAATGAGTACATTGGATTGTGTTACTTGAATTTTATTCCGTGACACCTTGAAGAGACGATTTAAATGAGAGAACTTAATAATCCGAGCGAGACAAAAGCGAGAACGTTTGATGCCAAGGCGTGTCTCGCCATGCACTTGCCGTTTTATTCGACTAATTTTAAGAAAAGGTTCAATTTCGAAAAGATATTTTGTATATACGGAAATGTTACTTTTGCTTACTTTTGCTTTTGTCTCTTTCTCGATAACACGTTTCGTAATCCGCTTCTATCTGCTACGACAAAATTGCGTGGCAATGAACGTGAAAGATAGCGGAAAAAGTTACAACGCAGAATAGATAATAATGTTAAATAAAAGAAAGGAAACAAATGCGATATTTCCTTTAGTTTCGGGGTTCAGTTTGAAGACCTTTATTAGAAAAGCGTGTGTACTTGTAATAGAGCAACTGCTAGATTACCCTTGGAAAAATATACCTTAGAAACCCTTAAAATTTTACTTTAGAAAAAGAAGAAATGTGAAAAGTAAATTTGGACACTTAAAACTCACTTTAAGAATTTAAAAGGAAACTTTAAGAATTGTGAAAAGTATGTAATATAATTTCTAATACCGCGTGCGGTTCTCTTCTTACGAGAAAGTGCTATGCCGCGCGACTTATCTAAAAATTCCTAGGTAGCCAGCTGACGTAACTTATCATTTTGACGTCGAAATGTCGTCAGAAATATCATTTTAATAAGTGACGTCAGCTGGCTACCTGGGTTACTTTAAGGGCCAGTTTCACAAACGTCGGTTAACTGCTAACCGAAGGTAAATTGATTCTCTGTCTCTTCTTAGAGCACAAGATAGAAAAAGATAGGGAGTTGGCAGAACTCTGGCTAACGGTTAACCAACGTTTGTGAAATTGGCCCTACGTGTCCAAAATTACTCTAAAATTTCTTAAGTAAACTTTTAACTTCTTTAAGTATAAACTCTTAGATTTGTACGATTACTTCAAAAAACTTTAATTTCATTTAAAGTAAATTTTCCCAGGGGTATCGTAAAAGTATGTTCTAAATGCGACGTCTCGAAAATGTTTTAGAGTTCCGACGTTCAAAATGTTATCTACAATATATGTTATCTCATATCGCATGTGTATTTCCATCACAATACGCGAGTTGGTGTCCTCAATTTGCATTCGCGTTTCGCAATGCAAGTTACTTTATAAATGGCGAAAGCGTCGCCTTTATCAAAAATACAATTTCGCGAACGTATTTCAACGCGCAAAAAATTGCATAGTATTTCGAAATTCCCCGAGATTAATTTTCGTAAAATGTATGCATGTATGCATTCCGTGGTTTAAATTATTCGCGCTTGTTCGTGAGTATCGGGGAAATTAAGTAGCGCGAATTCCGCGAATAAAATACGTCTTAGGTTTCCTCCGTGACCATCTGTGCGAAATTGCGCGACAACGTCATCCTTAAAGCGTAGTAAATGTAGTTTAGCGTCAACCTAACTGGAGGCAGTTAATAAAGTCTTAAACGTAGAGGTGAGATCGCTGAGAAACGCGATCGCGGTGAGAGTCTACGCAAGAATTTGAGTAGGAGATCTAAATATAAAAATTTCATGTGGAAGGACAGTATATATTTATCCGACCTGATGCATATGCAAATATTTTTTACCTCTATGTAAAATAGGCATAAATATTAATGCATTCTTCATATGTAACTATTTGTTTCGAACTGCACACGTTGTTTTCAAACACGTCAGTAGCAAAGCGCGAGCTGAATCTCTCGGATGTTTATACTTTTTTGAAATGTGTTTGTCAACTTCAGCAATTTATTCTTTAATTTGCAATTATAATTATCCTGCTCACGTTGGTTTTCTCATTAATAGTCTGTATTGCCTGGACTTCTCGAGGGATTCGCTCCACCCATGCAAAAATCTGCTCATTCCAGAGGAAAGATCATCCGCTAGAGACATTCGGATTAGTCGACGAAACTTGATCTTCAATCATTGTTCATTCCTCACGTGTTCAATCGAGGATAACAGATAAATAATAAAACGCCACGTAACCACCGGGAAATTTGTGAGGAGCGTGATTTCAATTTGCCGGTAACAAATGGTGATTACATCTTGAAAGACGCGCATTTATAAACTACAGTACCTTAACACGTGTGCGATCGAGGAAGTCAGATTGAAAGAGAGATTGAAGAAGCCTCTCGAAGCTGTACACGTGTACTGTGTAAGGATCTTCGGCTGGTGCCCATCTTTAGAAGAAGTATTCAGTGTGTCGTAGGTCACGGATTGAATTCCTAAAGTCGCGTGTTCGTCGAAGAAATAGCGTGACTCGTGAGAAAGCAGCATTCCGCACGTTGTTGATTGAATGTTGAGTATTCGACGAGCATTGAAGAAGTTGAACTATTCGCGACATTAATCGAGTACTAACGTTCGACTAGAATATCTTTTCTGTTTACGAAGTAGAAAGCTCGTTGAACTTGATGCCACGTGCTCTGCGGATGATTTATTAGTAGCAAAGGTATTTTCATTAATTACTCTGGTGACTATAGAAGACTATCGGAGAAATCGTTCTGGGATCAACTGAGATAATACACGCTTTTCTCCATCGTAAGAAAATATTCTCTCATTTATGAAAAAATCGAGGCTGTGCGACCTTTGTGCTCCATTTTATGTGATTTCTTATCAACCTGAACTACTGTGATTTAAGTCGGCTAAAGGCCAGTAAAAAGGATTCGTAGGATCAATGAAAACGATATAATATAGTTGTTGCATTTTTAATCAAGGTAAAGTAGTAACGACGTAATTTTTGCACGAATTATCCTCGTGTTGTATCCAACGATTATCTTTTCAACGACGGTCTGAGAAGTTTCTTGAAGCTCGAACGCTGCCTAGAGCCGTTCTAAAAGGAGAAGCAGTTACTAAGTGTGAGCTGGGAGAAGCAGTATTCACAGCAGGGACAAAGTAAGCGAAGCGACGAAGAATGGAAAGAGAAAATTAGTAAGAAAGGGATAGACTGATAGAGGAAAAGAGAGAAAGAAAAACAAGCCTACGGTTTAGAGGGGCAAACCGATTTAGCAGGCCACATAGTGCGAAGAAGGGACTCAAACGAAATAACAAGGAAGTAGGTAGAAGGTAGCAAGAGGAAAGAAGACGAAACGATAAATAGAGAAGAAAGACGACAGACAGACTAAGAAGAGACGAAAACGGAAAAGTTGAGATTTGATTGATAGGGAAGCAAGAAGGAACGCAGCTCTTCTCTCAAAACTGATCTTCGGGATGGGTAAGAACAGTCTAAATTCACACGCGGCCGGGAGTGCCTTTGATGGGGATGCTATCTTAAAGAAGACACGATGGCGCAATCTTCTGGCCTTTTGGATTCTGGGTTTATGCAACAATTACGGCTACGTTGTGATGCTCAGCGCGGCTCACGACATCCTTCGAGACAAGTTCAATCAGGAGGTGAGTAGCAATAATTCTAGATCTAGATTATCTGTTGCAAAGCTGGAATTTTTAATCTGACAAAATTTGGAGAGAGAGAGAGAGAGAGAGAGAGAGAGAGATTTAACAACATCAACATCAACGTCGAGAGAGCCATTCATCAACATCAACATCGAAAGAAACATTTATTAACGTTGTAGTTGACGTTGGCGTTAACGAATGTCTCTCTCCATGTTGACGTTGATGTTGATGGATGTCTCTGTCTCTGTCTTACAGTGAGAAGCCAAATTATAATTTTGATTAAATTAGAAACTAATATTAAACTATAATTTTTTAATTCAAACACAATTTGGAATAATTAATTCGCCAGCGATTAATTAACGATCAGGCGAATAATCCGACACGACTGATGGCTATAGGAAAAATCCTTTATTTTGACACTACGTTTCGGCCATTGGTTTTGGCCCTTTTCAAGTGTAATATTTCGGCGTATGGCATGTGGTTAAATGCCATTAGGCCCGGTTAGATATTAACATGTCACTTCTCTAACCGGGCCTAATGGCATTTAACCACATGCCATACGCCGAAATATTACACTTGAAAAGAACCAAAACCAATGGCCGAAACGTAGTGTCAAAATAAAGGATTTTTCCTATAGCCAGTCGTGTATAATTTTTTAATATTAAAATATATTATTGGTATATCTTTACAAAATGTAGTTTTTGCATATTATTTGTGAAGTAGGGAAATAAGTATCCTAATTTGTAATTATAATTATCGTTCAAATTAATAATTTAAGATATTTAAAAAGTATATGCGGAAGTATTCTGAACGAAACAATTACATTGAGGTCATTGTGACAAAGGTTATTCAATTTTTTAAAGTCACTCCGATAATCTTTAAAGAGTCAGTGGAATATTTGACATTGATCTTTAAAATTTAAGCGAACCGGAGATGGCATTATCTCGTGGATGAACTCACTGTGCTGCTGCTTGCTCCAGATAACAATAATCTGACTAGCTGACGAGTATCAGATTCATCTCCATATGAGATAGCGCGAACAAAGCTTTATTGCTTCGCACAAAAGATTGGCATAATTAACTGACGTTTGCGACATGAATGCTCAGAAATCTTTCACGTATCATCTTTGTCCGTATTTTGGAAATATTTCGCGCGTTTTTATTTTCTGGCCGCAACTGAACCGGCACAATTAATAGAAGACCGATATTTCCTTTTTCTTTTTCTTAACTCAATCTTTTGCGATTGACATTTTGCTTGGGTCAAAATGTCAATTGGTATTATTCAATTTTATGTAACGGTCTGGGTCAATGGCGTGATTCTGTAATAGCCTTTTGTGTGTCGTTCAATTTTTGTCGATATACGTTATCATTCTGATAAGAAATTAAGTACTCGTGGAAGCTTCACGGAAATTTTCCAACGATATTAATAGATCGGCGCTGGAATGCAATATGTATATTCCATTATAATATACATCGATTAATTATTCGAATCTATGCAATTTAGTAATAAATTGATAAACGTGATCCGCGACAATGATAACACTTAATGACCCATCTAATAGCGTAATGATTCGCCTTGAACGAGGAAAATCGTTGTACTTTAATAATTCATGTCGTCCGGCTTGATTCCCGAGCGACAAAAAACGAGTGTCATTGATTAAGCAGCACGAGACTGTCGTATTGTGCAACCAGTCTCCTTTCAATGCAATGTATCTATGGTCGACGGATTACATAAATCAGAAAGGAGCAACGAGAATTAGTCTACCATGTGCGAAACGTTACGCGCGCAAACTGTCAAAGTTATTTTTTGACAGAGTTTTTCACACTTTGTCCATTATATAAAACGAAAATTATTTTTATACTTTAAAGTTGTTAAACGAGTAAGAATTGCAAAACGATATTTTTAACGCGTCGTTGTTAAATTTTCACGAGAAAAATAGTCAAATTGAATTCCTCGGAAACACGTGGAATGTTTTCTTCAAATTTTATTTAAAATGGAATATTATAACTGAGAGTTGCACGTGTTCTTCCGATCTTTCCAGGATATCACGTCAAGCACGAACGTCACCAACTCGACGGATGGCCGTACATGCAACACGGTTTCGACCGGTGCTATACTTTTGGCAGACATCCTGCCAGCACTGGCGATCAAGATGACAGCGCCGTTCCTACCATTTCTAGTGCAGTGAGTATCTATCTTTATTTCTCCTTTGTTCCTTTTAGTCGCGTGTAACATTACGATGTGCATTCTTGTATATTCTCGCGTTATCCTGCAATTACTCGTCGGAATGAAGCCAGTGAGCACTGTGCAAAACGAATACCTGCTACGAAACTTCGAGTTTTACTCTCATTAGTTAATTGGAATGACGAGAGAACCAAACGATACTCATTTTTTCCTCGCGAAACGTTTATATTGTCTTCCTATGCGATTTTCCTTGCGTTGCGCAATTGATTGCATTAATATTCAAGCACATCTTTTTTTCAAGATTAAAACTCTTATCTGGACACCTGCAGGGATTTCACGCTTGGATACTCCGCGATAATATCATAATTAGCAAGATAATAGCAAAAGTAACATACCAGGATTAATTTACATCATGACGGATGATTGGATGAGTCTCTTGATAATGACGTACATTTTTAATTATGTTAGTATATCTTAAAATAAAATGCAAGCAATATTAGAGGTGATAAAAATCATGATAACTGGACTTAATTGGCAGTGTCTGATTAATTTTTACTCTCCACACATTATATATATATATGTATATAATATCAAATTTATCAATATATAAGTTTTTATCTTGTAAAATTATTTTCAAAGTATTATTTAGCTAATTAACTAACAATACATTTCTTTGATGAGAGACGCACATATATTTTAGAGTAGAAAAATTCAAAATTCGTCCAAAGTGCACAAATCGCATGGAAAATTAATCGAGTATGGAACCCAGAATGCAATCCGAATGTTTCCAATCCTCGCTATATTTCTGTCTCTCTTTCTCGATGCATTTCCTCTTTTTTTTTTAACCTCATCCGGCGCACGACGGAGCCTCGGATATCGTGTAAGTCCTTTCGCGGTTGTGCAAACGGCCGGCCCGAACCGTCAGTCCAAACGCTAATCAATCAATCGACTCATTAATTACAGTGCTCGACTGGCTACCTGTGTGTTATTTTCCGCTGCAGGATTCCTCATGGTGTCGTTGAGCACTGTCCAATGGCTCGCCATTATGGGCGTCGTCATTACGTCGCTCTCCTCCGGCTTGGGTGAAGTTACCCTTCTCAGTTACAGTAACCAGTTCTCCAAGTAAGTGTGTATATCCCGGTTTTTCTTACTTTTGGAAACAGCGGAAGGATCGAAAATAGAGGCGAGAGAAGCGTAAAATTTAGACTTCAAACACGTAACAAAATATACGGTAGATTGTTGAATTTAAAGCTGTCGGCTCAACGAGTATATTTCCAGAGTATCGAATTGTATGGACATTTAGACAGTTGTGACAGTGAAGTGACGATAAAATAATGCAACGTCGACAAGTCGGCCTTTCAAATCGGAAAATGTGTATACGAAAAAGCGATTAACTATACGCAGAAAAATAAGAAAAGAGATGCTCGCGACGCTCGCGTGAAGCTTGCCAGTATACAGGGTGTCCTGAAATTCGCGAATCAAAATACCATAGCAAGAAAGTCGTCGAAAAAATAAATTAAAAAGTTATTTGCCATTTTTCGTTCCGAGCAGTAGTTTTTTTTAGATAAAAAGGTTCAAAACCGGCCAATCATACATTACGGTTGAACGGAAACCTGTTGATAGTGTTAATGCACTAACACTATCGACGCGCGACTCACGGACAGGTTTCCGTTCAACCGTAAGGTATGATTGGCCTGTTTTGAACCTTTTTATCTAAAAAAAACTACTGCTCGGAACGAAAAATGGCAAATAACTTTTTAATTTATTTTTTCGACGACTTTCTTGCTATGGTATTTTGATTCGCGAATTTCAGGACACCCTGTATACATAGGCACATTGATAATAATACGCCGTGGTGACTGCAGAGTAACAATTACGACGGCTAAACACTAATCACTCGCTCGTAAAACGTAAGGGGGCCCGCGTTGTAAGCTATTCGTCCGTTGTGCAAATTGTGTGTGTATTGTCATTATGGACGATTGCAAATGTGTGGAAGCGGAAGAGATCGCGCAATGCAAACAGTTCGTTAGATAACGAGCGACCTGTTCATCTCTAACGTCAGGCGATCTGAAACGCGAAGACTGCAAGACAAGCTTGCGTTAATTTTAACTTCTGTTTCTTCGTATTAACTTAATCTCTCGGCCTCTCATCCGCTTGATGGCCTCGGGATTCTCTTATCATCTAATTGTCATTAATTCTCTCGCAGGCAAGTGATCTCTACATGGTCGTCGGGCACAGGCGGCGCCGGGGTGATCGGCGCCGTGTCCTACGCTGTGCTCAAAGAAGTGCTAACCATCGAGCATACGCTCCTAGTCATGTTGGTCGTGCCGTTCTTGCAGGCGATTACGTTCTGGTGTATCCTCAAACACCCGGCGCACACTAAAATTCCTATCACCAAGAATGGCATCGACAGCCAGGAGCAGATCATCAAGATCCCCAAGAAGAGCTTCAAAGACAAGCTCAAGCTGGTGCCTGGCTTGTTGAAGTACATGATACCGCTCGGACTAGTTTACCTGTTCGAATACTTCATCAATCAGGGCCTGGTAACGATATTCCGATATAATCCTTGTCCCTTCATCTTTTCACTGCATACATATCTTTAATCTGCTCGTACAATTTTTATAATCGTCTCTCTCTCTCTCTCTCTCTCTTTCTCTCTTCCTGTTAATGTTATATAATTTTGTCACGTCCAATTATTCTCTTGTTAAGTCAGATCAGTAAATTCCTGTTTTGATGTTGAAGAGGGAAATATGTGCAGAAATTACATCGTCGATTGCGAATAATTACAAGTCGTTAACTAAGCAGGCAAAATTTTCTTTGTAGTACGAGCTTATCGAATTCAAAGGCATTTGGTTGACACACGACGATCAGTACAGATGGCTTCAAGTGGATTACCAAATAGGTGTATTTATCTCGAGGTCGTCGGTGAACCTAGTTACTATTAACAAAATTTGGATCATGACCGTGTTGCAGGTAATAAATGAAACTTCCGGAATCGAGAAGTTACGAAAGACACGGATCACACTGATCGTGAGCTCATCGTTTTAAATCGATTGTTCTTTTTCAGTTCGTTAACGTTATAATCCTTCTCTTCGAAGCTATCTACTATTATATACCGAACATATGGATTGTCTTTGCCCTTGTACTGTGGGAGGGTCTGCTTGGCGGCGGGGCGTACGTGAACACGTTTTATCGGATGTCGACCGAGGTAACACGATGATGTTTCTTCATTTATGAAATAAGTTAAAATTACAAACGATGCAAAACAGTATGAAGGAATACGTTAAAAATCTTCTGCAATTTCACGCGATCAAGAATACTTTGCCACGCTACGTGGCGATATTTTCAACGGCTTCAAATGAATCCAGTGTGAATTTTTTCATAGATTCCGAGGGCGGATCGCGAATCTTCTATCGGAATCGCCACAATGGCGGATTCGATCGGGATTGCGTTGGCCGGATGGCTGTCCATGCCTGTTCACAATGCTATTTGCCAGCTGCCGCAGCCGAAGCGATTGGGCAGCTAAAGATATCGCGGTGGTTCGTTCGCTACCGAGTGATAACGAAGTTTCCGTAAGCGGAGACTGTCGCTTCCGAAAGTTCCTTAACGTAACATGTCGGCGATAAGAGGCGAAGATAACGTGGCGCGTTTCTATTATTAATTTAATAATTACCTGTAGATCAAAAGTAACGGCTGTTGACTGCACGTTTGCGTGGTCGTGAAACAATTATTGTTTCAGTTAATTTTCTAGCTTTGCGGAAACGTTTGAGTCTACTTCAAAGTTTTAAGGAAAAGAAGCAAACATTTGGGATGCAGGGGACACGATGGTAAATTTTTACTACTTTTAACGCTGTTTTATAATCACTGATGTTAATTGAATTTTATAAACGACGCTTTTAAAGCCACGACCATGTTGTTCGTAGAAACTTTCTGGACACATTTCAAACGTCTTCTCAGCAGTTTTGATTACAATGTATTACAAATATTCGAACTTTATTCGGTACAAACGTTCAAAAGATTAGGAACAGGGCATGTTGCAGTACATGTCGCACATTAAGTTTACATGATACATTATATGGCGACGTAGCATACGAATACTATCTGCGTTTTCGCTACGGAACGAAAGAAATCTTTTACATAGTACTGTATCTAGATTCCGCGTTGTACTGTAAGTTTATTATTTATTTTATGGTGCTGTGCCTAAATTTTGAGAATTGTACTGTAGGACCATTTCTTCTATAGCGTATCTAAATTTTGACTTGTACTCTTGTTTAAAAGTCTTTCCGATATCGTAGACATACTCTGAGATTACTATTAGTTGTCAATTCTCACATTGTTATATTATTTCCGGTTTGCCGCAACGAGATGCGCAAGTATTCTCGTGCGCCCCAAGAATCCACATCATCGAGACTTAATCGCACGAAGATTCGTCGATTAGCTCAGTATTACTAGCTACAGTAACGAATTGACCTCATTGATTATTTAGAAATCGTAATAACGCACTTGGATTACGCAGTCTCCTTATCCACTTGCGATTAGATATAAAATTACTAGTTCAAACTACCACGTTTCTACTTTGATATATTGATATTATTCTTACGTCTTTTGATTGAGATTGTGATTGTAAGTATTATAGATACATATTTACGTTAATTTTAATAAAATGGCCGTCGAAAGAAACCGTCGAGATGACAAATATTTTTCTGTCTTGTCAAAGTGTATAATTGTTTTAACAGTACAATCCGAGAAAGCAGCAACTCAACGTGTTTCTGTATTACAGGATCTATCTTTATGCACACTGTAATTTAACAGCGTGAAATATTTAAAACTTTTCATTCGTATATAAATAGAATGAATTATATTGTAAGCAGTAATTATATAAAATAATAATTGAAAGTTTCTAAACAATTGGAAAGAAATAGGGAACTATTTCCTATAAATTTTTAAGCTGCTGCTTTTTCAAACTGTGCTATTGTCGTGTTTACAATCCGTCAGTTGCTTTTTAATTCGAGTAACATTTCTTCTTTATGAAAATATCCACGCTTAGCCTCTTGAACCTAGAACTACACGCACGTAAATCTGCAAGAATTTTTAATCAGCACAAAATTTCTCTTGGTTTGAATTTTTTTAACTTAGCAAATTAATTAGAATTTTTATACTGCAATTGTATTTGACAATGTTTGTCACTCTTCTGAAAAAAGATTTGTCGAAAAATATGTTTTTCTATCGGAGTCACATATAAAAATATCTAATTGGGTTGCGAGACTCGGTATGTAAATCCTCGTGTATAAAAAAAAATCTGCATGTAGTTCTAAGTTTAATGATGCATGATTCGCATGTGATGATACTTTTATATTTAGCAGGACGTAAATAGAGTGAGTATAGTATGCTAGAAATATTACTCTTACTACGCTACGATACTATTTCTTCAGGATAACTTATAAACGAGGACACATTGCGATAGAGGATATGTCTCTATTACCTCGATGTATAAAACGAGTATTTTGTGCTCGCAGCAAATAAATATCTAATGAGAATAAATTTCTAGTAAAATAATGAAAATCTATTGCGCACAATAGATCTATATTCTATCCATTTATATGTTTGCTGGAGTGACTTCAACGGGGAAGTGATTCTTCTCTTCTGAGATACGATATATGGAAGTTTCACGGAGCAATTAGGAACTGTATTCTTACAAGCCGCGCGTGTTATATTTATACGTCTATCTAATTGGCGTCTAAGCGAGTTGTCGAATATAACATTGCTTATACTCGCGATTTATGCGTTATACGAGATGTTTTTGATTAATCGCACTTTCTGCTAATTATAAGTGTGCAAGGCTGCGAGGAAACATCGTGTCAGAATCTTCGACGTGAAAACTCATCCCTCGCAGATCGCGAAGAAACCTTAGCATGCTTTCTACGTTTTTATTAATAAATGCTTCAGCAGTATCCTTAAATTTTTAGGCGCTTCAGAACGAATTTGATGGTTGTTGCTCACGAGGACGGCTTTACGTTACACCGTCACCATTACTTTATATAAATCGCTTCTAATGTTCATGTAATACGTTTAATTAGTTATCTGTGATCAGACTAAGAATTAATGTATCCATCTGCTCTCATTATACCAGTTCATTATTATCATCATCTAGATAACACAAATGTTCAAGAAATGTCGCAAGAACACCCTAATTTTCTGGACGATTTTCATGAAAAACTTTTCATTTATATCAGACTTTTGTGTTACTTGGGAAACGATTATTATTATAACAAAGGCCGAAACAAGAAGCTTTACTGAAAACGTTTCCATTTCTCTCGTACCGTGATTCTTTAATTTCTCCGTTATTGAATTACGCGCATCTTTCCAAAATGAGTTTGCCGGATTCCTCGTACTCCTGACGCGACAGCCACATCTGCTGGAATGAGCCTAAAGAGCTGAGGATCGAACCGCCGATCCAGGCACCGTAACGTCGCTCGCTCGAGCTATTGGCGCTGATTATTTTCAGTCTCATACTCTGCCAACAGATAAATTGCATCAGAAATTGAGAGATTCATAAATAAGTAAATTAGTGTGAGACAGAACAAGCTTACCGGTGGGGTCTTACTGGCCAAGTCCCGATTCAGTCTGTCGCTAAATCCTTGAAGACAAGAATTACCGCCGGTCACTACCACGCTGCCATATAGACTCTGCAACAAAGTTTAAAGATCGATCATTTTTAAAGGCAAAAAGTATTTAAGTCTAGTTATGATTATTTTTGAATTGTAATTATATCTATATTTCATATGCTTTTCATTTTCATTATTGTATAAAATCAATTTATTTTTCTTAGAGACAGAATTTATGGCACGATTACGTAATTCAGTAGGTAAAACTGATTTCAAGAAGACTATTGATAATTTAATCGTCAAAATAAACTTTATGCATAATATAAATTGGATTTTGAAGGTATTTACATACCGGTCTAATGTCCATGTCGCACATTCCGACACTTGTGGTGACCAGAGGACCGACTCCTAAAATACTCGCGCCCACACCTTTAACGTTGCTGGGATCGAAGAGAGCTTCGGGTATCATGAGCCTTACGGATCCGTAATCATCGTTGCAGCCGGTCGGAAATTCGTAATGTTTCATGGGCAGAGTGTTCGCCACGTCTTCGTCGTAGGGACTATCCGACACTTGCAGACAGTTCATCTGAAAGTCCTGCAGCAGCTCTCGAACCATGTAGCTCAGCCAGGACGACGTTGGTTGCGGTCCTGGCCGTTTCGTCCAGCGAGGTGGATCTCTCTCCCGTACTACATCTAGAAGAAACATGAATTTTGTTAACAGAAATCGTCGAAATAATGTTAGAATTCCTCGCAATCCGTTGGAATCTAAATTATACCTTCAATTAAAATTCTATCAAAACTAAGAAACAACTAATCTGTTCTGTATATAGATACACAGATATTGACGTACTTTATCTTCAACTGAAATGAACTAACTACATCATTTACATTTATTTATCGCTCACGAATCGTCGTTTACCTTTGCTGGCGACGAGACAAGCCGGTACCAGCTCGATATCCTTCTCCTCGAAGAACTGTCTACATTGCATAGTGATGAAGTCACCGCCCAAAGGGCTCTTGACGATCCCCTGGGTGATAACGTAACCGTCGTGGACTGGTACCGCGCTGGTGTGAGTCGCACCGCTGTCCACGACCATTGCCGTGGACCTGCCGTTCGCATAAGCTGCCAGCACGGCGTTCTTGCAGATATACATGGCCGGCACGTTGAATTTCTCGAACATCAGCTCCAACAGCTTCTCGCGCTTCAGCCTGGTGTTCCACGGGCACTCGGTCATCAGGATCGGATGGTGCTCGGCTAAGGCGTGCAGTCGTTGCTTGTACGTATACTCGGTCAGTCGCTCGAACATGTCCCAGTCGTCGATCATGCCGTCCTTCATCAGGCTCACTATCTCCATATCTAAAATCAAAATCGGATGTTTCAGTATTGCGAAAATTCCAAGCTGCAGTGAAGTCTAAAGATTTACTGACAACGACGTTGTAATTTCGTTAATTAACCTTGTACCATAAGTCGAATCAATCATGCACTTTAATAAAAAATATTTATAGAGCATTTTTTGGTGCAATCAGAAGATTCTACGCGAAAAGCGTAGAATAAAATTGTTTCACAAGCCAAGTGACTTCGCCTGTGTTTTCGTGTATTTGTTTTCATGTACAACGAGTGTTATTTATTATTACTTACTTATTAATGTAGGAATATGAGAATCCGTTAGTTTTAAGATTTAGACGAAAATATATACATATGTTTACGCTGCCGCCGTCCGATAACATGATTTTTCAAAATAACGAAGAGAAAGACAAAGCGGTGCCGTGGCGACTTGTCAAGGGTAGCGTTCCTAGGCAAGTGAAAAATAATAAGCGATCGACAAACATCTGTAGATAAGGTCAGCGGTCTTGCGAAGGACCGGGGCAGGTGGAGTTGAACCGTCGAGCGCAAGAGACATACGAGCAATTTTGTATATAATAAAGAGGACATTACATTAATCTATTTCTATCTTTATCTCAAGAATTATGTAGGTTTCGTAAGATTTTGATTAAAAAGCATCATTAACATCGAAAGAATGATTTAAAGAAATCATATTCTGTGAGCAAAGCTATGTGCTAGTTAAATGACATGCGTGTCAGGATTGAAATATCGGCCTCTAATAATTAATCATGGCAGAAGCGTTGTATCACCACTTGCGTGAATTGCTATTACACGAAATATAAAATGGGATAATCTAAACCACGTTCGCGTATTATCATATTTAGTTATTACATGTCGTATTATTATATTTAATTAACTAAATTGTTGCAAGTCTGAAAATGAAGATAAAGCATGATGGCGTACCCTTTTTTCGCACTTGGATCGCCGTGACGTCGATGTTGTAGTGTTTTCTGGTGACGTTGTTGCAGTCGATCCCACCGGGATCGGCGGGTTCCTCCCACACCCCGAGGGTCGTCGGGATCTCGGCCTTCGGTGTGTCCTCGCCGCCATATCCCACGCGGAGGCTCTGGTGTCCGACGTCGAAGATGATAGCACCTACCTCGTCTGGCGTAACAATCGCGGACGATCGCCGCGGAATTAGTGCGGCGTGTAAACGCAACCCTTTTTCTAGTCGGAATAATTATGGAGCGCGGCCCCGTACTTACCACCGCCGTAGACACCACCGCTCATAGTAGTGAAGGGAGCGAAAGCCTGGCGCATGCCCGACTGGGCCGTTTCACCCTTGCAATGTGTACCTCAATACGTATACGGACATGCACATACACTTACTTACACCCACTCGCTCAAGCACGCCTGTATCCGAATCTGTGTGAATTGGGAGGATTGCGCGGCTGTGTGTCCTCCCAAGACTAATCGATCGCTGGTTACAGCGACGAACATAAGGAACTTTTTATTGAATATAAAATAACATACAAATAGTAGGACTTTCCTACAATAGTGGGATAATAGTTTCTACTATTGGTATTTACTTAGAACGAGCATGCAATTTTCTTTTTAATTTAAAATAACATAACTTGATTTAATATTTCCTAAGTAATTAATAAATGATTATTTGTGTGGGAGGATATGGAAAACGAAAAATGCGGGAAGTCTCTGAAAAATAAGCAAATCAATAATTCACGATATTATCTTTAATAATTAGTCTGGATGGCTAGAATATAAAGTGTCCTCGCGGAAAGTCACAGCCGTTATGGCTTCCTACCGATGTCTCGAACAGTGGTCAAAGTTAGACTCGCGAGAAGAAAACAAGCTGATATTGTTTCGACGGATCTCACGTACGACTCTTTCGAGCTCAGTTTCGTATGCTTAATAATCTTTCTAGCATATCTAATTGCCTATATTCGTTTATTTAAAATTAAGCCACCGCTTTATAAAAAAGAATATTATGAAAATAGGTGATAACTGCTCTCAATCATCTTCACTGTCTACGTGTCAAGTGATTTATTAATTAAAGAATCGATTAAGTAACAAACCTCGTTTTTATGATCAATTTTTGTTTCTTTGCGTTTGTTCGCGCTCGTTTGTCTAGAATCTGGATCAAGCTTAACGTATTGTTTGTGGAACTCAATCTTGTTTGTACACACAGACTCGAGAAGAATATGTTACGATTTTCATCATCTATTGAGGTCAAATTGGTATCAAACTGTTTGTAAAGATTAAAATTAACTCTGCTAACATTCAAGCAATTAAAATACTTAATTTCCGCGATGATGGTACGGAGTAAGTACAGTAAGTAGCAAAAATACCAATTAGTAGAGAAAGAACAACAATGAAATTAATATTGTTTTGTGAAAAAGAAAGAGACGCTCTTTTAATAATTTACTCTTTAAAACTCAAACGTGTACATCGAATCTTACGAAGTTTATCGTTGCACATCAAACCAGGTTTGGGAAAGTTACTTTATAAAAGTATCTAGTTACAGTTACAGTTTTTTCGCTACAAATGTAACTAGTTACAGTTACAAATTATCAATTCTGAAAATTAACGCGTTACAGTTACAGTTACTCAAAAAGTAACGAATCCTTACTTTGCACTTACTTTCTCGCAATGAAAATAAAAATATCAAACCTGCATTTGAATTGTAAAGCGTTGATAAAGACGTTTATGCGTAAATGCGAGGCCTAATACAATCTGCGGAGGTTTAAAATGCATATAAAGTAACTATTAATGTAACTGAGTTAAGTTACAGTTACAGATGGAGAGAAAGTAACGAAGTTAAGTTAGAGTTAGCAAAAAAAAAGTAACTGCAACTGTAACTTCGTTACAAGTAACGAATCACTTACTTCCCAACCCTGTATCAGATTGTTTTTAAGAGAACTTGGCAACTTGTTGCCGATGAAGATATATAATGTTCAAGAATAAAGGGCGCGCTTTGTATTCTCTAGTTTTATAAAAGCTGTATCTCATTTTTTCGTATCAACCAACTTGTTGCAAGATAGATTTGCCATTGAGATAGACCTTATCGGACGGGAGGCAGACGGACGGGGAAAGAAGCACACAGCGACGAAACGTGCACGTTTCCAATATGGAATTAGTGTTGTATATTTTACAAAGTAAATAGAATATAAACAATCTAAAGTCGTCTAAAACACAATAGTACGAATTTCGTGGTAAATCATTTCGTGTGTCGTAAAGATAGACGATATATCATCAACAGGGCGACTCCTTTCGTTTTCCTCCACTTCGCGCGAATGACTCGTGAGCCGAAATAACGAGGAGCGGCATATGGGGGCGATTTAAACCGGCTGACCGTAAACTCATCGTCACCCGACCGAGTATGAACGGCGACCCAACCAGCCAACGGGTGACGATAAAACTGATTCGATGGCGTCACGTGGAGGCTGCGATGACACTCGCGAAACAATACTCTTCTCGTGTACCTCGATAATTTCTTAGATCATCTCTTCATTATCATATCGTCACAATCATCATCATCTTCGGGGTCCGTCGATCGTTAATCGACACAGACTAGCATCGCGTTGTCTTCTATCTCTTCTTGTTCTCTTCTTCTTTCGTCTGTCGGGAAGAGGGCTGGGTCTCGGATGGTGTGTGATGCACGCGTTCGTGATGAGCGAGGTGTACAACGGGTACAGTAGTAATAGACAACTTACAGACATTACGTTCGGCCGTTACGTTTACGCTACGTGGTGACTCGTCTACTATGACTAGGTTTACGCTCGACGTTCCTTTCGCGGCGCTCGCGTCTCGCGGTCTCCCCTCGTTGGCATCGTAAGTTCCTCCACCGCGGAGACCTACGTGCGTCGCTTGCGACGGACGTCAAGTGTAAATCTAAACTACGATGTTTCTTTCAGTCTCTCGCGGATAAATTAAAACTGACACTGACGACAACGACGAATGGTCGCGTTACTTTCTTTTTACTTGGACTTGTACGGTAACGTTCTTCGTGGAGAAGCGGAAGATGGTGCGTTTCGATTGTCGCGATGGGTGCACGAATCGAATTTACGAGAATGACTGGAAGACAAGGGAAAATGTTTCGGAGGTCGCATATTGCTCGCTTCGATATGCATGTACAGGTGTCTCACGCCCAGAGGCACGTGCAATTGTCGGAGAACGCGAAGGTGTCTCGGTCGATCGTAAATTTCTTCGCGGTCGTTGGTAATCGTTGGTCGCTTCGTAATAGAATAAGATGGCAGTTACCGTTAGAATTTTATAATTTTAATTACAGTCGTCGCGCGTATGCGTCGTAGTTTTATTATAACAATTAGAAGACTGTATGCAGGGTACGTGCGGTTCTCGCGCGCTTTTGGCAAATCGGAGGCGAATACCCGCGTACAGAGATCGTCGCGTGGAGGGAAGAAATCCGAGGTGGGTGCGGATCGCGCGTATCAGCGCCGCCACTTTAACTAGCTAGGATTATTACACGGTGGAATAAAACGTGGCAGTTTACACGGATCGTCATCGTCGAAACGCTCCGCGGACCCGCGGGGGCTTGGCCCGCGTTCCACTTCTTTTTCCGCCACGATATGGAACAGACAACAACGTAGAGCTCGAGCCGCTCCGCTCAAGTACTCGCTCGAGCACCCGAACGACGCGATGCTTAAAACTTGGCGGTCCCACCGTAGAGGAACCAATAAACGGTAGCTTATAGACTCTTTGTCTCTCGTTAAACTTAACTTTGTTACGATCAATCGCGGCGCGTTTGCGATCGTTCGCCTAATCGTAGCCCTAATACACTTAAGCCGAGAAATAATCTTGACGTCGGAAACGCCCGAGCTCGTCGAAAACGCTGATCTCGCCGGAAACGCTGATGGCAGTTTGTGGAGCACGTGGTCGAGCTGACGGACGCGTTCTCGTCGACGTAGGCCAGGAGTAGGACGAAAGAGTACGTGGAATTATTATCACTTGAATGGCTGACAATCGGACGCGAGGCGCCAATTCGCATTAACAAAACGACGGACCGCGATTTACATAAATTCTCGCGCGATTCTTCCTTACTTTATATAATCTCCTATCTCTTCTCTCGCCTAGTTTACTTTTAACTCTCTCCTCTTCCCGTTCACCCTACGACGGGGTTCCCGCGTGCGCATCGGAGGCTTTTACACGTATTTACACCGCGATTACGAAGTCACGGAGGTTTCGTTGGCTGTTGTGACCGCGATCGAAGTCGCACTCGGCCTCGCTTAGCTCAAACGCGTCGGAGAACCCCGAGGGTGGGTCCAGCTTGGGGACGAACAGGTTTCCTGATCCGTCACGCTCCTGGTCCCGATTGGCACAGGGATTGCCCGACTGGTGCTTGGGATGGCCAGGCCCGGAGATTGGCCCGAAGTTGGCACGGGCCTCCTCGCTGGTATGACGCGCCAGCTGTAACATCCTGAACGCAAACGGACCTTACTACCTTGCAAGCTCTGGGCCACATTTGGTTTGGAGTTTAGCAGATGCATTCAGACGATGTGTATTTCATTATCGGCTTTTAAGTGCTTTGGTCGATCAATGATCAATTCAAGTATCATATATTTTAAATTTCAATTCTAAATTTCTGCTAGTCAATGTGTTAAACGTAACATCGTTTCTTATTATAAGCTTCGATGTCCGGACGAACAATTATACTCGACCGGAGGGTAGGCTTACTTGGGTCTTCCCCTTCCAGGAAACGATTTTCTCTCAAAAATCGGTGAGGGTTCTGTAGACGTGCTAGATTCTGGTCCATGGTACAGGAAGTCTGCAAGCAAACGATTCCCCTTCCTCTTACTCCTAATTCGCCGGATGTAAACGATCGATCACAAGTGCTCTCGCGATCTCGCGGCGGGCACTTGGTCGTGGATCTACTTTGCGCGATGCAGGCGATTCATGCGACAAGACGGTAATCAAGGAAGCGTATATCGCATACGCGTACGTGCATCGAACAAAATTGCGTTCGGGAAAACAAACAAATCGACGATAGTACGAAAGTGCTCGCAGAAGCTAGAAACGGTGGAAGACGCGGGCTTCGCGGAAACGCAAATCGAAGCGTAGCGCAGGATTTTCGGGTACGGAAGTAAAAGTTGCGGGGCTGAATCTCCAGCGAGAACGCGCCGAAAAAAAGAATGAAAAAAATCGGAGCCTTCGCTCCTAGTCCAAGAAGCTGCCTTCTAGCCTACTGCTACACTCCTGAGGAGAAGAGAGACAGAAAGAGAGAAAGAGAGAGAGACACATAGAAAAAAGAAAAAAGAAGAGAGAGAGAGAGAGAGAGAGACAGAAAGAGGTGAAAATATTGCATACTGTGGACGCGC